ATAATTATCTTTGTCAAAGAAACCTCCTTGACAGACATAGCAGTATTTGTGCTCAGTATTTGTCTTATTTGATCTATCATTGGCATTTGGCATAAATGATCTCTCTCTTGTTCTTGAAATAATTTTGCCCTTAGTTCCCAGATATTGTGCTCTCCTAGTTTCCCTTCTATTCCTTCTTGGCCTCCTTTGTGTGGGGTAGGGGGACCACAACATGTTACATACAGGGGAATAAAGATGAGAACATCAATGACCTCTCATTGAAAACAGTGGAAGCTAAAAAGAAAATGGAATAGTGCCTCAGAAGTGTTAAGAGAACCTTGTTTTATTTTATTTTGGAGACAGGGTCTCACTTTGTAATTCAGGATGGGCTTGAACTTGCCATGTAGCCCAGGCTGGCCTTAAACATGGCAATTGTCCTGCCTTAGCCTCCCAAGTGCTGAGATTACAGGTATGAGCCACTATGTGCAGCCTTTTTTCTAAAATATACAAATTTCTTACTTTTATCCACTCAAAAGACCTAGAAGTGGTGATGGACCAGGAGCATTGAGCACCCAATACCCTGATTGTGGTCTCTAAATACTTTTTTCCAGTAAAGGAAACCTGTTTGAAAGCATCATTGATTTCAAGTCTGCCACAGACTGTATACAAAATAAAATGGGAATAGTTTATGCCAAAAAGCAAGGAAACTAATAAGCCCTAATGGATGTGTCAAAGAACCTGGAAGCTTCCCTGGGCTGCCACTGGCCAAAGGTAGAATACTTTGTTTGGTTGGTTTTTTTTTGTTTTTCTTCTAGTACCAGGAATCAAACTCACAACCTTGTGCTTGCCAGGCAGGCGTTTTGCCACTGAGCTAAATCCCCAGCCCCAAAGGTAGAATACTTTGAACATGAAGATGATTGAGAGCCAACCATTGTAGGATTATAGGTACATGCCTATAATCCCAGCACTCAGGGACCAAGGCAGAAGGATCACAAGTTCAAAGTCATCATGGACTACATAGTAAGACCCTTTCCCCCCTCCACCTACCCGCCCCCCCCAAAAAAAAGATAGAACTGGCCACTCTATCCTGTATTCCTGTACTCCTGACTACTTGGGAAGTGTATTCCCGTACTCCTGACTACTTGGAAAGCTAAGGCAAGACGATACTTTGAGCCCACAAAAATCTAAGACCAGACTGGGTAGCATAGTGAGACTCCCTCTCAGAAGTAGATCAAGGCACCTCAGGTGCATGAAAATGTGAATTCATAGTGGTAATAAAAAAGAAATTTCTTTTTTATTGAAGACTGCTAACTCTCATTCAACTCTCATTGAAGGCTGCTAATTCATTCTGAGTTTTGTTAAATAATAGAGGATGTCAACTTTGGTTTTACCTTTATTGGTTTTTTTTTTTTTATTTTAAAGAGTAAAAGAAGGATAACATAGTAATAGGGGGACTTACTGAATTACAGACAAAGTGGCAGGAAATTATCAATGGTGGTTATTTTACCTATTGGTATCTTCAAGATAGTTTCTCAGGAAAACAAATAGACAAATAATAGTGAGTTACAGACAAAAGTGGTAGGAAATTATCAATGGTTGTTGTACTATACTTTGGTATCTTCAAAGTGGTTTCTAGAGAAAACAGAGCTATATATGAGTGATCAATTAAATAATCATTGATTATTCTCAGTGGTTGTTGTTGGAAACACGTAGTAACAAGCATACATCTATTTACAAAATAGCATAGGAACAGTACAAACATTACAGAGTTATGGACAGATTGCTAGAAAATTATCAGTGGCTGCTGTAATACATGGATGTATCTTCAAAGTGGTTTCTCAGGAAGACAGAGATATGTAAGAAAGATCTAACAAGTAGTTACAGCCTAAGGGTTGTGAAAAATAGTGGAATACCTCCTCACCACTGACTCCTTTCACTGAAGTATGATGGCTGGAAGGAAGGCCAGGACTGGAAAGAAGGACCGAGAGACTAGCACCAGTGTCCAGTAATAGGCTGTTTACTTTTTCCTCCATAGTCATGATTACGTGGGGCTCCTCCTTGGAGATAACGGTCTGGGCAGAGTGAGAAGGCAGAGTATGCCCTGGGCCCCTTCATTCCTGTTGAACCAGCTGGTAGAAGGGGTCTGAGCTCTGGGGCCTTCACTTCAGAGGGCAGTCTGACCTCTAGTGGTCACCTTTACAGTCAGGGCATGGCCCAGGGGATTTCTTAGGGCAGTCCCTCTTGAGGTGGCCTCGCTTTTGACAGCAGTAGCAGATGAATGTAGTTGTCAAGTTCTACTTGGGGCCCCGAGAATCAGACTTAGGGTCTGTTTCTCTTAGTGCTGCAGCAAAGGCAGCTGCTTTTTCTCAGTCTCTTTTCTCTCCTTGGCCTCCTCCTCATCACGGCTATAAAGTACTGAGGATGCAATTCTTACTAACATCTCAAGTGAGCTATCTGGGGCAAAAGCCATTTTTTGTAGGTTTTTTCTACTATCTGGGGCTGACTGAGTAATAAACTTATCTTTAAGAATAATTTGTCCCTGTACTGATGTGGGATCCAGGAAAGTATGCTTTATCAGTGCCTCTTGTAAGCGATCTAAGAAAGCAGAGGGGTGTTCCCTTTTTTTGGGAGGGGGGCTGTCTCAGCTGTCAGTGGAGCACCCATGCCAGTCATCTCTCCAGCCTCCCAGCACATTGGGACCCCACAACCACTTAATGTCCTCTCCCCAACCATCAACACAGGCGGCAGGAATATGTGAATGAAGTCCTTGGCCTGTTAGTCTCAGCACCATCAGGTACAAAGTGTCCCTGCCAGGTAACCTAGACCTGTACCTTCTCCATGAAGGCGGTTCTTCACAATCTGAATATTGGGCACCCATCCATGAAGTCTCGGTGCAGACCTCTCCGGAGCTCCACACGCTCCTCCACCGCAACCTGTACAGTCAGGGGTAGAATGGCCTCCAAGGGGTCTCCCCAGGTATTGCACAAGGTCCTCCTGGTTTCCAGCTCCCGAACGGCTCTTGCGTCCCCAGTCAGCTCGACCTCTGAGTCGTCAGGCTTTGTCTGTATTCTCGTGTTCTCCGAGTCCTTGTTCAGCAGCTGCTTCTCCGCTGACTCCGGATCTATCTGGTTTTCAAGGGCAGGGCCAAGAGCGACCCATTGTGTGGCACGTTTTCCCAGGGGTTTCTCCATGTCAGGATGGTTCACACATGTCCCCTAGCGAGCCTCCAAGTCTGGCGCAGGGTGGGCTGATTGTGTCAGTGCTTCTCTGTGGCATGATAGTTCTCGACCGTGCGGTGGCGGCTGGCCCGAGGGCTGGCGTGTACCACTGCACTGCTTCCCAGGCGCCTGTGTGGCTGAGGGCCAGCGTGCCCTGCTGCACAGCTTCCAGGGTGCCTGCTGCCAGCTTCCCAGGTGCCTGTGCGGCTGGGGGCCGGCTCGAGAGCTGGTGTGCCCTGCCGCACAGCTTTCTGGGTGCCTGCTACCTTTATTGATTGAGCATTATTTTTAAGAAAAATTATTTGGTCATTCAAGAGATGGACACTTGCTCAAAGGAGGATAAATTTAGAAAAATCAACATTTTTCAACCTGTAATAAAATAATGTATCTAAGCAAGACATCCAAAAAATGCTAAAAGCTTAGGTAGAAAGTTGATGGGGACTTCCTAATAAAGAAATAGGACCAGTAACTCCTGAACCCACTAATCAGTATCAATAATCCATTAATTCAATTCAGTGTGCCTCCTTTTTAATTTGTAAGTTCAACATAATTACCTACAACTGATTCTTACCATTTCTCAAAAACAAAACTTTAATCAAGCAATCTTGGGATGGAGAAGCAAGTTAAAGGATACCATAGGAAACAATCTGTCTAATCCAGGATGTAGGGTATTCTACAACATAACTGTATTTTTTCACAAACAAATGTCATAGGGCTGGGGATATAGCTCAGTGGCATAAGCACCTGCCTGGCAAACGCCAGGTTGTGAGTTCAATCCCCGGTACCGCAAAAAAAAAAAAAAAAAAAAAAAAAAAAAAAAAAAAAAAAAAAAAAAAAAAAAGACAAATAAATGTCAGAAAATGGACAGGGAAAAGAGGACTCTTTGGATTAAAAATAGAAGTGTATTAATCAAATACAAACATAAAACGAAATTGGAACCTTATTTAGATCTTGATTTTAACTGGAAAATGAGATTTTTTATAATTTGTATTTTTTTCAAATGAACTGAGATACTAAAAGCACTTGTTAAATTTTTTGGTGTAAAGTGTTGTTACTGTCTGAAAGACATACGGGGTCAAGGATTCCTGGGTGAAATAATTGCCTTGAATTTGTGTTAGCACCTTTTTCCACATAAAAGAAGCTGTGGGGAGGAGAAGAAACAAAATTTTTGAAAGATTGGTATTTGTTCAAGTTTGGTGATAGGTACCTGAGAGGCAGTCATTAGATTACTATATGTAATGGAAGCTTTAATGTTACTATAGTAAAAATATTTTTAAAAGAATAAAGACCATGCACTTGAGAGAGCCTCACAGTACTGTCTTATAATTAGGAACAATTCTAATAAGTTTGGTTCAGGTACCAGTTTAGGAGAGAAACTGATGCTACAAATAGTATCCCTATAGAAATAAGAATATTTATTGATATTATGAGGTAACACTGACAATCTTTAAGTGTAGAAAAAGCTATAAAAGTATAACATAAGGGGGTCACTCAGTAATATAGAAAGACATCTTTCCCTAAAAAGTACATCACAGAGCCCAGAACCTGGACAAGACTGGTAAGCAAGGTTCCTTCTTCTCAAGGACTGTGGTGCCAATCAGCCAAAGTCTGCTTTTGTTAAAGGATCTATGGGACAGATTCCCAGTGGTCTGACTGTATTTCACCATACGTTGTAGTTTTCTTAATGTTCTCATCATGATATTATTTTTTCTATTTTTAAGTTTGCTCATTTTAACCCATGTTCATCTTTCCCTCTATATGTGTTTGTGTCATGCTTGCTGTCTCTGCTTCCGTCATTCCCAGGTTACAGTATAGCCAAGACATGCCCAGTCCTTTGGCCGATGAGCATGCGCTGATAGCTTCCTACGTGGCCCGTCTGCAGCACTGTGCACGGTCAGTGGTAGCGCAGCAGCACCAGGCGGGTGGCCAGGGCTAATTGGGGGAAGCACAAGCTGTGTGTCTTGCAGTTGCCAGTAGGAGAAGCTCTGCAAGTGGGGTCGTCCTTGTGCAGCTACCAGCTGTGAATGACAGTGTTAAAATAATCATTGAAGCATTAGCTTCCACAAGAGAGGGATCCTTGCCACGCCTCGCACTTACCTACATGTTAGCTAGAAAGTCTCCTCTAAAGTAAGGTTTGGTCTCTGTAAATTATACTGGAAGAGTGCATACTCTTGGAGACATAGAGTTCCAAAGGTGTACATTGACAGAGGTATTTCATGCATCCTCTTCCTGTTCATTCTTAGCAATAATGAAATATTTCCACTGAAGTTCAGATTGAGGGCTAATCAACCGATAGATACCTCAGTTGTCTAATATGGAGATTTTAATACCATTACCCTATTACATCTGCACCATACTTTATCTGTTAGCAGAAATCTAACATTGTTGATTCTTCAAACCACTGATTTTCAACAGTGGGATTGGATCATTATCACCTCAGAGATTTCTTAACAAACTGCATATACTTCTTCATATTCTAATTATATGTATTATAATGGTCCCACCTCTCTTACCCTGAAAGCTACTATGGTAATGATTTGCTGTTAATATGGGTGTGTGAATGACCCATTCATGGGTTGGGGTGGAAAAATGTTCAATAACCACTAACTATAGGAAAGTTACCAAATAGCCTAGTATGGTGAGGCAGTCCTATAATCTCAGCACTCAGGAGGCTGAGGCAGGAGGATGGCTGTGAGTTTGAGGCCAGCCTGAACTGCATAGTGAAACCCTGTGTCAAAAAGACAAAAAACAAAGAAATCCAAAACATACCAAACAAAGTGATGTTATATTTAGGCACACTCCTATCCACTCCACATTCATACTACCACCATTCTAAGAGCAATGACAAATAAGGTTTAGACAGCCTAACACCAACTCTCCTTTCTGCATAGCTGCAAAGAGGAGTTACATTGCCAAACAGCTTGTAAAGCTCTGCTTTGAGACTCTTAAAAGAGAGAAAAACATAATTTATGAACTACTGTATACATAAAACAGGCCTAAGCCTTAGATTTTGATCTTAGTTTTGCTCATAGCATGTCCTTGGGAAGGTCATTTGAGCTCATTCCTACTCCCTGGGATAAAAGAGGAATAGTCAGTGGGGGAAACATATATATGAAAAGTACTGTTTTTAATATTGTACTTCATACCATCTATTGTAGTTCTGGAGGAACTCTGGACTTTCAGATTCCCAGGTGGGCTTAATGGCCTGTTGTATAGGAGGGAGGAAGGGCCTGCTAATGATACCACAGAGAGCATCATCTCCTCATTCCCAGGATGGTTCTGCATGTTTGTCCCAGCCTCTGGATTAATCTCTGAAAGTAGAGTTGTTTCAGCCTAAGCAGGACACATTACATTTTAACAGTAAGAGCAGTTGTCCAAGGTGATATAAAGCTACTACAGTAAAAACAGCAGGAGAACCTTGGCAGAAATTTTTACTTGATATTTTAGCTTACAGTGGTTAATGGTAGATTTAGCCAAGGTCCTATTGCCTAGGAGCTCCCTGATCAGGAATTGGTGGCCAACAGCTGTAGGAGAACATGAGTGGTGAGTACCGCATCTCTTGATTTATAGTTTAAGAACTGAGCACCATACTTCCGTGAAAAAGTTAGACATTTCCTGGCTACATCTGAAAACGTAAGTCAACTCAAACAGAACAATAAGGAATCTTTCTCATTGCCCTCAGATAATTTTCATTGGCTATAAAATCTCTCACTAATACAAGATTCTAGGTTCTGATTAGGAAGTAGGATAATAAAGCAACCATGTCATCCACATATGTGGAAATGGCATATGGGGAGAGATGGGTTGTGTTAGGGGAAAAAATGAGCTCTTCTCTTTTGCACAGAGGAGCTCACTGTATCCCTCCTTGCCTTGACAGATGTCAGCCTCTTTACATTCCACCTTTTAGGCTGCTAATCCCTCTATATTATCTACTTGTTTTTTTAAGCATTCATTTTTGTTATTTTCATTTAAAAGATAATTTTTATCTTGTTTGAGACAAACACTTTACGGCTCAAATCTTATAATTCAGCCCTGACCATAAGACCTTCAACCTAAAGCATTAAAGCCAACTGATGGTTGCATAATCTCAGTATGAGGTCATCTTTGGAAGGGACAATCATACATGCTAGAAACCCACATTTGCACACCTAAAATTATAGAATGTTGATAGATTTTGTAGCTAGGTGACTAAAAGCTCATTTTTAAAAAATCCATCCTAGAGAAAATGCCAAGTTAAGCTAGAAGAATTGACCACAGAGATAAAAATATTGAAAAAAAATCTTTTTAAATCTAGGAAAAATATAGTTGATTCTGGATCTTAATTGACTTAACTCTAGTCTTTCCAGATTTCCCTCAGTCATTATAACAAGATTTAGTGAGTACTGGACTTAATTCTTACATATTACTTGTATTGCCAAATTCCAGTCAAGAATTTTGGAAAACTTCAGGAACCCTAGGACCAGAGTAGAGCCAAGCCACAGGAGCCTTCTCTGGTCAGTCTTGTCATCACTGTTTTCTAAAATTTCTGCCAGACTTAAAGAGAATTATTAGCCACAGTCCCTGCTGATTGAGGGCTGCCTTGATATGGGTAAGTAGCAGTTGACATAAAGTGCTAGATTAAAGTATCTCGATGGAGTGAGCCTGCTACTCACGAACCTTCTTTCACTCAGGAGCCACATTATCCCATCTGAGTGGGGCACTGAATTTGTAGAATGCTCACACTCTTGTTGAAGAATAATGAGCAAAACGAATACACTCTAAGAGAGGATTATAGTTATAAAATGAGCATAGTAAAGGAAGAGAAATCTTCTCTGGCTTTACAGTGTGTTTGTCCATCCCTGGTCAGAGTTCTCACGTTAATTATACTTTTTCTTACCCTTCTCTTTTTCATGATACTCTAGTTTTCTTCTGGTCTTTTTGAGTTTAAGATCTAGGCCTAAAAAGCCATTAATTTTCCCAAACATTTGGTTAGAAATCCCTATCATAGACTTTGTAGGTGCTATATTTTTTCCTCAGCCCTTCATTTAAAACAAAGTGCTCCTTCAATGGTGTAAGAGCAGGGAGGTATGCTGCTGAAGAGGAATGACACATGCAGCCACATCCTTTTCTCTGAATTGCCCTTTTGCCCAGAAAACCAGGAATGTCTATGACCCAGGTCTTCATTTCTTTTGTTACCATTCCTATTCATGAATTTTATTCTCTATCTGTTCTTTGTAAGAGTAGAGCAAGAGTTGGGAATGTTTAATAGACACCTGTTGAATTGTTGTCTCCTTGGCAGTGTCCTGGAAAGTCCTACCCGACTGGATGAGGAACACCGGCTTATAGCTCGCTATGCTGCTCGATTGGCTGCAGAAGCAGGAAACATGGTAAGTGAAGAGAGGATCCAGGAGAGCACAGAAATTAGCATTACTTCAGTATACAAATTATGTAGGGGAATAATACATCAGGAACAGAAGGAAAGGAATAGATTTAGGGATGAAGGAGACTTCAATTTTACCTTTTGTGTTCTCTCTCTCCTTTTTTTTTTTGTTTTTTTGAGACAGGGTCTCACTGTGCAGTCCAGGCTGGCCTCAAACTCTCTATGTAGCCTGGATTGGCCTTAAACTCACAGCAGTCCTCTTGCCTCAGTGTCCTGAGTGCTGGGGTCACAGGCATATGCCACCACACTTGGCCCCAATGTTCTCTTTCCATAAAAAAATTAAAGTCTTGGGGCTGGGGATTTAGCTCAGCGGCACAGCGCTTGCCTGGCAGGCACGAGGTTATGAGTTTAATTCCCGGTACTGGGAAAAGAAAAACAAAAACAAAACAAAACAAAAAAATTAAAGTCTGGGCTACATGGGGGGGATCAGGAAGACAAACTAAAATATTAAGAATTTTATTTTTTAAAGGGATCAATAAATTAATAACCTCCTAACAATACTGTTTAAGAAGAAAAAATAGAAAGTACAAATTGCCAATATAAAGAATGAAAGAAGGGACATCACTACAAATCTTACATTTAAAAAGATAAGGAATATTATGAACAACTTTTTGCCAATAAAAAATTGACAGCCTAGATAAAAGGGACAAGTTTCTTGAACAATACAAATTAACAAAAGTAGTATGAAAATAAACACAAAATGAGATAGTTCAGTATCTGTTAAGGACATTTAACTCACAATTAACTTCCCACAAAGAAACCTGGTGGGGTGGTGCACGACTGTAGTCTTAGCACTTAGTGAGGCTGAGTTTCAGTCCCTGCTTGGGCAGCTTAGCAATTTAGTGGGACCCTGTCTCAAAATGTAAAAAATGATGGGGGATGTAGATCCGTGCAAAAGGCCCTGGGTTTAATCCCCAGTACAAAAAAAAAAAAAAAACTTCCCACAAAGAAAATGCCAAGCCCTGCCCAGTGGTTTCACTGTTGAAATACTCTCATGCTTAAGGAAGAAATAGTATCAGTCTGATGCAAAATCTTTCAGAAAATTCAAGAAGGAATACTGCAAGTCATTTTATCAGGCTACTATGACCTGATACCAAAACAGTATAAGGGCATTACAAGAAAAAGAAATTGCTTACCAAATTCTCTCAGAAACATGGATGCAAAAATATTTAGCAAATAAATTCCAGTAATATGTGAAAAGAATAATATTCCATGATCAGTTGGGATTTATCTTACCAATACAAATTTATTTAAATTTAATACATGAAAATGAACCAATGTAATTCACCATGTTAACAGTTTGTAGGAAAAAAGTTTAAGATCATTTCCATAGATGCAGAAAAAGCATTTGACAAAACAAAGCACTCATTTATGATAAAACTTCCTTACTACTAGATAGAAGATTTCCTTACCCTGATGAAAAGAACCTATCAAAAAACTCTCCAGGTAATATCACTTAAAGATTAATATTTAAACATCTTCCCCTTAATATTGGAAACAAAAAAGGTACACTTTTACTACCTTTATTCAGAATTTTTCAGAAAATTTAGAAGCCCTAGCCAGTCCAACACAAAACAAAGCAGTCTTTGTTGGAAGATATATGATCATATATAGAAGGTCCTAAGGAACTGATGAAAACACTGCTAAAACAGATAGCAATGTTGCAATATCAAAAGTATTTAGAGAGCTGGATGCTTGTGTCTTAGTGGTTTGTATCAGAGTGCTTGCCTAGCATGGATCACCCAACACAACAAAAAAAAAGTTTGAAACCTGCAAAACATTACTAAGAGAAATTAAGGAAAATTTGTATGAATGGAGAAAAGTGTCATTTATAGATTGGAGATTTCAGGGCTGTTAAAATAGCCCATGACTCCAAATTTTTTTTTTTTTTTTTTTTTTTTTTTTGGCTTTTCTGCGGTCCCGGGAACTGAACTCACGACCTTGCGCTTGCCAGGCAGGTGCTTTTGCCGCTGAGCTAAATCCCCAGCCCCTGACTCCAAATTGACCTGTAAATATATAGACTGTAAATCTATACCAGTCAAAATCCCAACAGGCTTTCTTGTAGAAATTGGCTAATTGATTTTAAAAGGTATTTGGAAAAACCAAAGGAGCTAGAATAACCATGAGTCTTGAAAAAGAACAGATTTGGCAAACTTAACCCTAGTTGGCATCAAGACTTACTCTAAAGCTATGGTAATCAAGAAAGGATGAATTGATTAAAAGGATGAGCCAAATAAACCAAGAAATTTGAATTCAGAGTAGCCGCAAAATAAACTCTCATGAGTACAATCAAATGACTTAGGACAAAAGCAATTCACCCAAGAAAGGAAAATCATTTTAAGAAACACGGCTGGCACAACTGCTGCTGCTTCACACTGTACAGAGAAATCAGTTTGAAACAAACTATAAACTTAAAGCTAACACCAGAAACCTCTTAGAAAAAAAATCACAGAATTTACAGAACTTGGAGAATTTCATAAGCCTTTAAAAAGAAACAACATAAGTTGGTCCTTATCAAATATAAGTATCTTTTACCCATCAAAAGATACTATTAAGCTGCTACATGCCTGTAATTCCAGCATTTGAGAAGCTGGGGCAGTAAAATTGTGAGTTTAAGGCCACTCTGGATTAAATAGTGAGACCCTATCTAAAAATGAAAATTAAGAAAAGAAACTATTAAGAAATAAGTATTTGTTTCTCTTCAGATTATATAAATCTTTTGTCTTTTAAGAAACAAGTAGACAAATCACAATCACAAAATGTTCTCAACCCAGGATTAACAAAGGGCAGAATATTTAAAGAATTCCTTCACCTCAGTAATAAAAAGCCAACTCTTTAAAATGGGCGAAAGACTTGGACACTTCACAAAGATATACAAAAGGTCATTAAGCACGTGAGAAAGTAATTGATAATGCCAGGCATGGTGGTACATGCCTATAATCCCAGCACTCAGGAAGCTGGGGCAGGAGGATTGTTACGAGTTTGAGGCCAACCTGAACTACCAAGTGAGCTTAAGGCCAGCCTGAACTGCATAGTAAAAAGACTAAAAAAAAAATCTTTAAAAAAATGCTTGATATTGTTAAGCATCAGGAAAATGTTAATGAAAGCCATAATGAGATACTACTGCACACCCACTACAGTGGCTAAAATAAAAAAGACTGACAAAATGTTGGCAGGACTATGAAATAACCAGAAAGTTCATATGTTGTTGGTAAACATGTAAAATGTGCTACCTTGGAAGACTATTCAGCAGGTTTTTTAAAGAAGTAAAATTTATCCTGTCTTCCAACAATTCTACTCCTAGACATGTATCCAAAAGAAATGAAAACATGTTCACAAAAAGTTTCATGTAAGAATCTTCCTAGAAAGTCTAACCATGTTATCTGGGGAAAACTCAGATATTTTTCTTCTCTTTTTAAAATTAATTTATTGATACTCTTTTGATATACATAATGATCCCATTCATCATAGGGTATTTGTACCTGTACATGATATATCTTGAGTCTTCTTTTTCCCCACTCCCCTTCCCTCCCTTCAGCCCCGCCCCCCCCCATTTACAAAAGCTTGTTTCCAGTTTTTTCCCTTCTATTCCCAGGTATTTTTCAACATATAAACAAACAAAAACAGTATATCCACACAGTGGAATATTACTCAACACACAAAGGAACATACACTGACACATAACACAGTCTGGATCCTCAGGTTTGGTTTTTTGCCAGTACCATGCTGTTTTTATCACAGTAACTTTCTAGTATAATTTCAAGTCAGGGACTGTGGTGCCCTCTGCTTTGTTGCCCAGAATTTGTTGCCCAGAATTGCCTTTGCTATTGTAGGACTCTTGTGGTTCCAAATGAATTTTAGGATTGTTTTCTCTAATTCTGTGAGATACACTGTTGGAATTTTGATCAGAATTGCATTAAATCAGTATAACAATTTTGGAACTTTGGCCATTTTCACTGTACTGGTTCTTCCTACCCAAGAGCAAGAGATATCTTTCTGTTGTCTGATATCTTCTTCAATCTCCTTTTTCAGAGTACTGTAATTTTCAATGTAAAGTCTTTTATTTCCTTCATTAGATTGATTTCTAAGTATTTCTTTCTTTCAGATGCTATTGTGAAAGGTGTTGTTTCTCTAATTTCTCTCTCAGTGAGTTTGTTATTTTTGTATAGGAAGACTTTTTTTTTTTTAGGTTATTGATTTTTTGAGTGTTGACTTTGTATCCAGCTATGCTACTGAATTTGATTATTTGGGTTTTTTTTTGTCTTTTTGAGACAGGGTCTCACTATGTAATTCAGGCTGGCTTTGAGCTCACTTTGTAGCCCAGGCTAACCTCAAACTCCTAACAGTCCTCCTGCCTCAGCCTCCCAGGTGCTGGGATTACAAGCGTACACTGCCACACCCAGCTCTGAATTTGATTATTAAATCTACAAGTCTTTTGGTGAACTTTTTGGGGTCTTCTATGTAGAGTATCATGTCATCCGCAAGTAGCGATAATTTAACTTCTTCCTTTCCTATTGTTATTCCTTTTTATTTCTTTCTCTTGCTTAATGGCTCTGGCTGTAGTTTCCAGGACTATGTTGAATAAAAGTGGAGACAGTGGACATCCTTGTCTTGTTCCTGATTTTAGAGTGAGAACTTTCAGTTTTTGTCTATTTAGCATGATGTTGGCTGTTGGTTTGTCATAGATGGTTTTTATCATATTGAGTTAACATGAGTCAATGTGGGTGAATTTTAAAAAATAGTAAAAGAAGCCAAACCCCAAAAAGTGCCCTATTTTATTGCATTTACCTAAAATTGTGGAATAAGAAAACTAACTTATGATGGTGGAAATCAGATCAGGAGTTGTTTGTAAGATTAGGGTTATTGAAAGGAGATGAGAAAGCCTAGATTGGAGAAATGCTCTACATTGTAATAATGTTGGGTGAGTGTGCCCATGTGTGGAGACTG